AGTTAACACTGAGAGAAATCATTTCTATAATTTAATTTTTTTTAAATGAACGCAGATTCTAAAGATTTTAAGTCTACACAATTATTAAAAGTACCAAAAATGATTTCGAACGAAAAAAGTCCATATACACCTGCAGAAGCTACACGCTCAAAGCAAGGTGCTACAAAAAAAGGGGGAAACAGTAAATTCATTGCTGAGAGTGACAGTATAATAAGATACTGCACTCGATTTTCATCTCCTCCGATTCAAGATAATTCTGAATCGGCATTAGAAATCAAACAAGAAAATCTCGATAATTTTTGGATACGTCTCCAAGCTTCATATGACGCCATAGTAGAATCTGACGAATCAGATCTACCAGAAAATTTCAAATCTTCGGCTTACGCACTATACGAAAATTGCTTAGACCAGTTTGAACAAACAAAAGCAATGATTTCGGATCAATTAAAATTAATTAAAGCCATAGCACCTGCTCCACATCAGCGAGTAGAGTCCATCCATCTCAAGGTGCCGGCATGGGACACAGAAATATTTCATGGTGGTTATGAACAATGGCCGTCTTTTCGGGACATGTTTATAGCCGTTTACATGAACCACCCAAAATTATCAAATGCACAAAAATTTTATCACCTCTGATACAAAACAAAAGATCAAGCAGGCGTAATAGTAAAATAGTTCGCACTAAATTACGATAATTTCAATTTGGCTTGGGAAGCTCTTAAATCTAGATATGAAAATGAGAGAATATAACGATACTAATGAACTTGCCTAAGATTCAAAAGGAAACAAGTGAAGAGTTTATAAAACTGCAATCCACTGTTTCTAATTGCTTGTCGGTTTTATCGACACAAAATATTCCCACAGACAGCTGGGACCCAATACTGGTAAATATATGCACCATCGCTTTACCAGAAAAATCGTTACTTTTGTGGGAGCAATCGCTCTCATCTCGAAAAAAATGCCCAACGTGGCAACAGATGAAAGATTTTTTAATAACCGCAGAAAGGGTAGATAAAAAAATGGTCAGAACGAAAACCGTTCAACACGACCTAAATAGAAGCTTTCACAGACCCGAAGCCAGTAGCAGCAACAATTTAAATAGAAGCTTCTTCAGAAATCAAACGTTCACATCCGAACAGTACAAACAAACGTCATGCGAACTATGTACAGGGGGGCATAAGCTCAAATCTTGCAAGTGATTCAAAAAATTAAATATTATCGACCGAAACAATTTTGTCAAAACTAAAAGATTTTGTACAAACTGCTTGTCACATGCGCATACACTTAAAGAGTGCGAAAGCAAATTTAATTGCGTTTATTGTCATAAACGACATCATTCTATGCTTTATTATAACAATTTCCTGTATCACACCAAAGAACCGCTTATATAAAAAGAACCACAGGTTTAGTGGTAACAACAACTTCCAAAAACCAAAGTCCCGAAAATTTCCAAAAAGCACCATCCTGCTCAAAGGCATTAAAAACTCAAACGCTACACAGCAAAATACAAAATAGGGTATTACTACCCACAGCAGTCATCTCCATCGAACATCGAGGAGAACTCTATAAACTTAGAGCTTTAATAGACCAAGGGTCACAAAAATCCTTCATAGCGTCTAGGGCACAAAATAGGCTAAAACTGCCATCAAAACAATCAAATTTTGAAATTACGGGAATAGACGGAAGATTAGTCCAAAACTCACACAAAATCTGCCCCATTACCTTAATATCCCCCCAAGCGGATAAGCGAATTGTAGCAGAAGCTATAGTCCTACCGCAACTTACTAAAATGCTTTCAAGCTATCACATAAATAGCAAGCATTGACAAAAGGTTTCACACCTAAAGCTAGCAAATCCCAACTGCCATACCCCCGCTCAAATAGATATAATAGTAGGCAGCGACCTTATACCGTAAATAATACTTGATGGTGTTGAACAAATTTCAAACACCCTTCTAGCCCAAAACTCTATATTTGGTTGGATTCTAAGTGGACTAGTTACAGAACCAGTTTCCACATCAACAACTCAAGTTGACAAATACTCTAAAGAATACCTTCATTCCCAATTAAGAAAATTTCGGGAGTTAGAAAAACGCTCATATCAATTACAACCCCAGAAGATCGGTATTGTGAAGACTTCTACAAAGCCACAACTACTCGATCAAATAATGGTCGGTACGTCGTACGACTACCGCTAAAGCCACAATTTTCCAACTCTCCACGAATAAAATAAAGTCAGAATTTCCTTTGACATCCTAAATTTTAAAAACACATACATATATAACTTTTCGACCCCACAGGATGGCTTTCGCCAATAATGATACAAATTCATAGAAAAATCGACAGCGTACACAATATTAGATGATACTAACATCCTTGAACGATTTTATCATTCTCCCAAGCCTATCAGAGTAGTATAATAAATTCTCAAATTTATAGAACAACACAAACATAAAATTAAAGGATCACCATACTCCCAAGGTGATACAGCGATGCTTCTAAATTTGCAAAAAGCAAACGTCGCATTTATCTAAGCGCTCCTCATATGGGTAGTTTATCGGAATCAGCTATATAAAGCTTCAAATCCCACTTCAAAAAAGTAAGCGAAAATCACAAATCTCACTCTCGCAAGATCCCTCAAAGGTTTCAAAGGAGCACCCATTCTGGTCATATCTGAGCCAGGCGTGGAGTTGCTAATCTTAATAAGCCGATGGTAAAGAAATGTTAAACAAAGAATACAAATAATAATAATAATATTATTATTATAAGAGAAACCCAAAATAAAGTTACTTACCTTAAAGCACCTCAAGCATATTAAAATACATACAAGATATGTTTTTAAAACTAAAGCCGTTTTATACACTACAGATAAATATGGATATAACATTACTCCATGACCATGTGACCCCCCCCCACCCCCCTCGTGCCCCCGGCTACTCAACCAGCAGCATGCCGCAATACATACATATATCATTTTAGTAAACATGTGTAAAACTAGGCAAAATATTCGCCTAGGGGGCCCAGGATGTTTAAATGAGCTAAGCCTCAGTAACTAAACACACAACTCTATTCACTAACACCACCACACTCAGCAAGATGTCACCACACGACGACACCCCACACCGCCAAGCAACAAAAAGGATGGTCCCCAGATTATAGGATCAGCATTCGTTAGGACACTGCGCCGCGTAAACAACACGTTCAATTCGAAAGCGATCCCGCTCTATTCCTTTTTTCGTTCATACTCCTGCGCCACATCATTCTTTTTGGACAACACCGCTCCACACCCGCCAACCGACTTAGCGATCCGATAATATATAAACTTGTATTTAAGGAGTTTTATTGTGTAAAGTTTAATAATTAAATTCGAATACTAAACTAAATAGCGCATTTTGGTTGCTTATAACTATAAAAGTGGTCAGTGCTGCTAAAGTGGGAAAGTATTACACACAAATTTGTTCACAGACAAATAGCGTATTTTGAGCGAATAGTAACAGTTTTAAAATGGAAGATTAGAAAATTTTACCGAAATTTTAAAATTAACGTTATTTTCTGAACGCACACGTAGTAAGGGTAACTAAATTCTGCTTATACCACGATATACATCAGTTGTATTTATTTTGTCATCAAACGACTTCGACTTTCAAATAGTAATGAACTGTAATAGTCAGTAAATTTTGGGGTCAGTAGAACGACATAAATTCGGCAAAGGTGAAATTTTAAAATGTCTTTGGCATTCACTTGGACAGAAAGTTCACGTGGAGATCAATTATCACATGTGTGATCATCATCACATATCAAGAAGTATTACTAGAATGGAAACAAGAGCAATAAATTTCAACTGGCTGTAAAATAAAAGTTCTTAACTAGGTGTTAACAATACATGTTTTTGTATAACCCAATTTGGTATTCAACTGTGGGTGCAACCAGCATTAACATAATACAGAGATTCCAATCAAAAACGCTTGAAGCAACAACGGGTTCACCGTAATACATTCCAAATGAAAATATTCGCAAAGATTTAGGCATTTCTTTGGTAAAGAATGAAATAAAGCACAGCAGAATAAAACTTATAAATACTTCGGGATCATCCAAATCTATCAGCTAAAGCTTTAAAGTTGTAAATATGGTAAATTTTAGATTTGATTATTTTATGTTAGGCTTCAAACACGCAGCTTCAATAAGCAAATTAATGAAAACCCATCGATAAACACTTAAATTTCGCTGTCGATTGTTGTTGTTGTAGCGGCAGTAACATCCCTGAAGTTATTTGGAGGAATACTCTCGAATTGACAGTTCTGGATGAAAATCCGGGTCCGTTTCGGCTACGAAGACCAGACTCTTTTGGAACGATGAATGTCTACCATTAAAAAAGTAGGTTGCTTTTATCTCCACAAAGATCTATTATCTCTTCGCGTATTGTTGATAAACCCCTAGTTCTATGACAATATCCAATATTACGCTACTTTTCTCCTGACGCTGTGCTTGAGTCTAATATACTTGTATATAGGTTGTACCATACCGTATGAATAACTTGACACATTAGTCACAACGATCTGACCAAGGCTTTTGGATAAAGGTCTATTTATTTTTGTTGTTCCAATTTCGCCTTCTATTTGTTCGCTGAAAATATGCCACAAATTAAATTTGCTTACGTAGAACAAAACCGGTCATGTACTGAAAGCTGGCACAGGAACCGACCTAGCCCCTATATATGTGTTTGTCTCTGTGCGTTCCTTATTGATTTTGATCGGAATGAATCTCTTGTGGCATTATCTAAGTAAATATTTCTACACATTTTATAGTTTTTAAGAAGGCTTTACATATTTTCATCTTTGTAGCCGTAACCTAATCCGTAATATACGTGTGCCCCTTTCACTGCATTTATTTGAGTTCTTATTGATTTGGCTTTAAATTCATGATTTCTAACAATATTATTAACTAACCCCAGTTATATAAGTATTTTATATTTACTAAAAATTAAAAAATGCGGAGAGGTTTTGTAGAGTGAAAGCTTATATATTTATTTAACAACTTCACGATCACTGAAAAATGTTTAGTGATGAACAATGTGAGCGACTGGAGCAGCATGGACCACTGGCACCACGGGAGAAACAACCGACTTCACAACTGGTACATGATGAACAACCGGGGCGGAGTAGGTCTTCACAACTGGAACGATTGGAGCGGAGTAAGTCTTCACTACTGGGACGACGGGAGCAACAGTCTTGACTACTGGAACCACAGGAGCAGAGTAGGTCTTTACAACTGGAGCAACATGAACCACTGGAGACACAGCTTTCACAACCGGTGTAACAATATGCGCATTACGGTGCACTTGAGTGATGCTCTGGTGGGAGGTGGCTGAGGGAATGGTGTGTACAACGGCACCTACTTTGGCAACTACTGGTTCAGCGATGAACCCGGGAGCAGCGGTGGCAAATGCGAAGAGGGCGGCGAAGGTAAACTGTATTGAAAATTTGTATTATATTATCATTGCTGAATCCAAAAATAATTATAACTTACATATTTGAACATTTTGCTCTTTTGGTGGTTGTGAATGTTTACTACAAGAAAACTGTATGCAAACTGATATCTTTCAACGTCTCTCGCAGCATATTTATAAGAAGTTTTTCGAAAATACAATACTTAGCATAAAAAGCTTATTTTATTATATTTTATTGGCCTTCGCTATTTTTGTTTAGTTTTAACGGTATATTTGCTTAAGTTTGTTGCAAATATCAATGCTTGTATGGCCGGCATTGAACTTGAACATTTTTACTAGACAAACATTAAGCAACCACCAACAACCAGTTTTTGCGTTGTGCTGTTTTGTGCAACAATATTTTGAGCAATAATCCAACGTTATTGGCAACGCATGTGTTTAGGTGCTACGCCCCTTTCAAAGCCTATTAGCAACAAATGGCGGCGTCAGCAGTTCGCATAAGTAAAAAAGTAAGTAAACTATAGAAATAAATATGGAAGCGTAGAATAGGAAAATACTTGTTGACAGTGATGGATTAATATGAAAAATATGCGCTAGACAAACCTTAGACGCATTTGATTGCATTTGTATGCCAAACTTTTTGAGAAACACAAGTTTCAAAATAATTTGGTAGTAATCGTAATATAAATAGAACACGTTTTATAAAAATAGCATCAATTTATAAAGGATGGGAAGATCAACAAAACAATTTTTCGGGTCTTTAGCAACTTCTTTTCATTTGTATATGAATTGTATTAAAATATCAACTCATTGCAACAACAGTTATAAATTATTTACTCATTTGATCAACGACGGTCTATGCGATTTTTTCTTCAAAAAGTTTTCGAGTTCGCTACTAGTATAGCTAACTGTTGCTTAAATAGCTTTGAGCTCTGAATATCTAATTCTTAATGGTTGAAATTTGATCGGGTTATCATAAAAATTAAAAATCGTATACTTTTTTTTAAATAACTAATTTCTTGTTTTATATTAGCTGTCTTCAATTCCTCATTCCTCTCCGCGTTATCTTAGCGCGCTGTTTTCTTGTTGAAAAATTCAAAGTTTTATTTGACACATTTAATACCAGTTTTCGATTATAGATGGCAAATGTGATAAATTATACTCAAAAATGAAAATGCATACATTTATTTTTATCGATCTGGAAATAAATTATTGTTTTTAATTGAAAAAATAAGGCTAGCAACTAAGAGATTACTAAAATTTTAAGTGATCCCGTATACCAAACAACAGTCTTGTATTTTATTGTGGAGCTTAGTTATGGTATTTTTTTTTGATTAATGGCGTTTTGTGGGCGTGGCAGTGGTCCGATTACGCCCATCTGTAATACCAACCGTCTTACGGTACCAAGAAATATGTGTACCAAATTTCATAAAGATATCTCAATTTTTACTCAAGTTACAGCGTGCACGGACGAACGGACGGACGGACAGACAGTCACCCGGATTTTAACTCGTCTCTTCTTCCTGATCATTTATATATACACAACCCTACATCTAACTCGATTAGTTTTAGGTGATACAAACAACCGTTAGGTGAACAAAACTTTATACTCTGCAGAAACAGGTTGCGAGAGTATAATTATCAGTCAGATTGCGTAACCCAAACTATACAGCAGCAGCAACATGTTCAAATACGTAAGACCACGAATTGATAAGTTAAAATAAACTGTACAATTATAATCAAATTTATTCCAGATCACATTCGCCGCCCTTTTCGTGATTGCCACTGCTGCTCCAGGACTCATCTCTCAACCCATTGTGGCTAAAGTAGGAGCCGTTGTGCACACCGTTCCCTCGGCCACATCCCACCAGTGCATCACCCAAATGCACAATATTGCCCATATTGTTACGACCGTAGCGAAAGCTGTGGCTCCAATGGTTCATGTTGTCCCAGTTGTAAATACCTACTCTGCACCTGTAGTATCCGTAGTCAAAACTGTTGCTCCAGTCGTCCCTGTGGTTCATGCTGCTCCATTTGCCCACTTTGTCATTCGAATTAAAAAGTCTTGATTAAATAACAATTTAGAAACGCAACACAAAACTGAGTATGTGCATATGTATAGTATGAAATGGTAAGAAAATATTATATGCCTGATATATTTAAAGAGATGAATAAGTAAATCTTGAGTGTACCAAATAGAACACTCAGAAATGAATTATATTAGTGTCACATTATATAGCAACTCATACGATGATCTTCCAAGAATATATCAGAAAGAAATTGAGAAGATAACCCATTTATGATTCGTGAGCTTTTTAAAAAATTAAGTCAATGCAAGCCTTTAACCTTTAAAATTTCAAACACGCCCCTCCCCTTCCTTTTCCTGAACTCAAATGGCCCGTAAATTATTATTATACTCTTGGAACATGTTGCTACAGAGTATAATATTGTAGTTTTGTTCACCTAACAATAATCGAGTTAGGTATATACCTATAAATGATCAGGATGACGAGACGAGTTGAAATCTGGCTGACTGTCTGTCTGTCCGTCCATCTGTGCACGCTGTAACATGAGTAAAAATTTAACTTGGTACACATGTATCTTGGTAACGTAAGAAGTTTGCTATTGTATTGTAGATGAATGCAATCATATCTAAGAACAAAATTAAGATATAAACCTATGATTTCTTGCAGGGAATTGGAAGTTTAATGTATATATCTCCTAAGCAATTCAAGCTATATGACCCAAATTTACATAGAATTAATATTTTTGACCCTTCCTTCGACGTTGTGAAAATGGATGAAATTGAATGATAACCCAGCCCTTTCTCAATATAACCGTTTTGTTCAAAACTACTTAATGCACGATAAATCAATAACCAAATGCGCTAGAGACTTTAAATGTTATACCCGGAATGACACAAGTAGGCTTTTTAGGGGCCGAGGTCAAAATTGGACGATCGACATGGCACCGTCCACTATTAGTTGAAAGCACATATCTCCGAACCTACTCGACCAATTTCACTGCCGACGATCTTATGTTACATTGTGACAATTAGCGCAATCGAACTACAACCACGCCTATTTCCCATATAGAAGAGTTACAAATTTTATACGGCTCTTTCACTTTTAAGTACACAAATCCAGCACCAATGAATATATTCGGATAAAACTTTGCGCAAGTATGTGGACCGGGTGACTTTTTGCCGAAAATATCGGTCAATCTATGAGAAGTTTTTCTTTGATAATAATAAATCCTTATGTCAAAACTGTTGAATCGGGGCAATGCTTCCCTTAGCCCCCTAATAACTAATAATAATCGGCAATGTGGGGGTTATTTTAATGAAATTGAGAAAGCGAATTTTTCTAATGACAATATATCTTTATGTCTCAAATGAATGAAATCAGGCGAAAACTTGCCGTCGCCCCCATATAACTGATATTCAGGATTTTGAAACATCCGGCTCACCTTAATCCATTTATATTTTTATATTCATAGGTATATATAAATATATATAAAATTTCTTGAGAATTAGCTTTCCAGCATAACTGAACAATGTCCAAAATTAATATAATCAGCCGTTCCATGGACCCAATATATCCTATATAAGGATCTTCGGCTTTATAAAATTATCTTAATGGTTTCGCTCTCAACCTCATATCACTAATATTATATAATGAATTTCGATGCCTTGGTGGACGTTTTTCACATCAACTCAATATATTAAATTTATCCTCTTCGGTTGAGTTAATAGCACATATATCTCATTTGAAGATGATTTAGGTATATTTTTTGCTGTGGGGGAGTAAAATATAGTAATAAGTGAGTCTATGACCTTCAAAAGAAGTTAATATGATACCATATTTGGTTGTACCCTTGCACGATTTCGTCGACCAATGAAGTTACTCTACATTTCTTAATACAAAGTTTTTCCAACACGTGAAGATATTTCCCCAGCTTTGATCCTTTCAAGTTCCAAGAGCATGAAATGTTCGGTTACATCCTTGACAATAGGTTTAGTGTATATAGATATTCGCAAACCCATAAAGCTATATTCACCGAACAATGGGTGTGACAATGCTCATATCTAGGCAACTACTTGACGGATTTCATCAAAATTTAGTATCTTTAAATCTCTATGTAAGTGACCCATTGAAAATTAACGAAATCGGACTACAACCACGCTTACTTTCTATACATATAGCACAATAGCACATTCCATCCTTGAAGATGTCGCAATAAAACTTAGCACAAATAGTGTCTTCAATGTGTGCCACCTCTCATCGGAAAATGATCCGAGACAGACTAGAACTTTGCAAGTCCCTAGATGCTGATGAGGCTTATGACTAGCCTTTTAATATCAGAGAGCTTCTTTTTCTAATTATACATAGTCCGACATGATGCCAAAAAATAGATAACATACCACTATAACATATAGCTGCCATACAAACTGGACGACCGGAATCAAGAATTTGTATGGAAAACTTTTTTATTTTAGGAGGTATCTTCACGAAATTTGACATGGGTTATGGTCTAAGACATTATTATAGCATATAACTACCAAACAAATTCACTTTTACCAAATTTCAAATAGATCTGTCGGACGGACATCTGTCTGTATTTACGCGAACTAGTCCCTTAGCTTTTGTGATATAGATCTGAAATTTTGATATCGGACGACTATAGCTTATAGCTGGCATACAAACTGAATCATCCTGATCATGTCCTTGTATGCAATGGATTATTTTTCAAGGTAACAGTACAATTTCCGAACAAATTGTTCAGATCGGACCATTATGTAGCTGCAATACAAAATTATAGATCATAATCAAGTTCTTCTATGGGATCTTTAATATTTGTGAAGGGTGTAATAGCTACGGTACAACCCAAGTTAACGTTTTAATATAACATTATATCTATCTTTATATATTTTAGCCGTTACAAATTACCGTTATATGAATAAAACTTAATTCTGAGCAAAATTCGGCGAGAGTATAAAAACACCTTTAAATCCTTTTAAAGTATCAAATTATAACAATATGTTAAACAGTTATTGAAAACGACCAAAAAGTATTAAGGAACACAAAAATTTAAATCAATGATGATCAAAGTCGACAAGAACCGAGACAATTGATTTTATAACTGGAGCAGTATGGACCAATGAGACCACGAGGGTTACAACCGACTTCACAACTGGTACATGATGAACAACCGGGCCGAAGTAGGTCTTCACAACTGGAACGACTTGGGCAAAGTGAATAACTGGAGCCGAGTAAGTTATCACTACTGGGACGAGGCGAACAATAGTCTTACTGAAACCACAGGAGAGTAGGTCTTCACAACTGGAGCAACATGAACCACTGGAGACACGGCTTTCACAACCGGTGTAACATAATGGGCATTATTGTGCACTTGAGTGATGCTCTGGTGGGAGGTGGCGAGAGAACGGCATGAATAGCGGCACCTAAATAGCCACACAGTTGAGATATAGAAATGGTCTCCATATTCACATTGAACTTAAACTTAAAATTTCCACAAAGAAACGAACAGCATAAACAGAAAATCAATTCACAAATTCACTATATTTTCAGAGCAGTAAAATCAGTATAGAGGTCAGTTGCATTTGAAGTGAATATATACGGTTTTTATTTGCTTGAAAGCCATGAGGTGATTTAATTAACGCCACCACATATCCATTCAACAGCCTGATATCAAGCGCTACTCCACGACGGCTTAATTCAATTGCACCATTAATTAAGTGCACATATTCTGTTTGAAATTCAGCATAGTTGTAATGATATGGCAATTTTTCTCTATTTTTCTGGTATTTTAGTAGTTTCCTATTTGTATTATAGTTGTCATATTCAAGTATTATATTTGTTATATTACTTCAAAGTGTAGACACCTCTAAAAAGCAATTGGTTCTTCAATGGTTATGACATATTTATGATATTTTCCTTTTGCAAATATTACTCCTGACAAAATCTGTTTGCACTAAACTATAAATTTTGATTGAATTATTAAGTTAGCATCAGTCAGATTTTATGTTTTGAGGAGCTCAGATCAGCATCAACATAACTACAAACCTAGCAACATGTTTAAATACGTAAGTTCATTGCAGTGTTGTTACATACTAGTAATGCTGAATAACTGTACATGAAAACTAACATTTACACTCTACAAAATAGATCACTTTTATCGCCCTCTTCGCATTCGCCACCGCCGCTCCCGGTTTCATCGCTCAACCCGTTGTGGCCAAAGTAGGTGCCGTGGTTCACAGCGTTCCATCTGCAACCTCCCACCAGAGCATAATCCAAGTGCACAATAATGCTCACATTGTTACACCTGTAGTGAAAACTTTAACTCCAGTGGTTCATGCTGCTGCGGTTGTCCCAGTTGTGAAGACCTACTCAGCTCCTGTAATTCACGCAGCCCCAGTGGTTCCAGTTGTGAAGACATACTCTGCCCCTCTGGTACATCACTTTCCAGTGGTTAAATCAGTTTTTGCTGCTCCAGTTGCTCAAATTGTTCATCACTAAACATTTTATTGGCCAATAAAATAAATGAAATTTAATCTCAAGTTACTCTAGTTGAATATCTATGCATTTGGCATCACAAATAGGCATTTTACTTCTAGTAGCGGTTGTATGGCGAGTCTTATATTTGAAATATTTTTTGAATCGCTGATGAAGAATTATTTAATATAGTAAGCATTAAAGATGTGTGCCATATTAAATAAGTATTTATAAAACTTGGTAAAGAAGAACTCGCGCAAGGCAATTAACATCATATCAGTCTTAAGGCGTTCTTTCAACATCCTTTGTCAAAGCAACAACAAGCTACGGCATTAAGCTTGATATAGGTACAGCAAACGGGGAAATAAAGAGGAAAGACAGAAAAGTAATACAATAGTAATGCCATTAGTTAATGAGTTAGGCCAGTTTAGAGCCCTACAGAGGCCTAACAATTTAATCTGACAGTAAAAAAAAAAAATCAATAAAAAATTACTAGACATATTACTATCTAAACTATTTCCTAGAACAATCATTGCCCGATTTTAAAAATGCAGTTTCGAGATGAAAGTCGTGTTTAATGTTTTGATTGCTTCAGCTTCCATCTCGAACGCTTCACACAACAGCGAAATGAAAAATAAAATTTATTTTCTCTATTCTACCGAGTGAACAATGTTTCTAGTACCCTAAAGTGTACATTAAACCAAAACAAACAAAAAAAGTAAGGAAGGGCTAAGGTCGGGAGTAACCGAACATTTCATGCTCTTTCATGGTGAATTTAATCAAATATGGTATCATACTTGTATGAACTTATTTTAAAGGTCATAGACTCACTTAGTTTTATTACTATATTTTACTTCCCGTCAGCGAAAATTATACTAAAATCATTGGGGGCATAGAAATGGAAGGCTTGATTGCATTAATTTTTGACATTGGCCAGATATACTTGAGAACTTATTTTCAAGCAATTTTATAAATATATAAATATAAACATATATATGGAGTAAAGTCAACCAGAGGCAGTAAGGCAAGTTTTCGCCCGATTTTATCCATTTTAGGCACAAAGATACACTGTTATTAGAGAAACGCGCCCTCGTTTCAGTAAAATAACTAGCTCATAGGCCGATATATCTCGTAAAAAGTCAACTGGAACTTCGAAAAGCTTTATATTAGGTATAGGGGGGCTAAGGGAAGTATTGATCCGATTCAACCCATTTTTGACACAAAAGTATATTATTATAAAAAAAAAAACATTTTCTCCGAATTTCAACTATATACTTGTATATCACATATTATATTAATCGACATTTTCAGTAAAAAGTCAGCCATAGGCTCTAGGATCCACATTTCCGGTATCTGAGAGCTTGAAGAATTATGTTCCGATTTTGACAATTTTTAGACCTGGGGGGTCATATCTTAAGGGAAATATGAAATGTCAAAATAATCTTATTTCAAAATAAATCAAATTTGGTTGAAATTGGTGAAATAGGTTCGGAGATATGTGTTTTCACCTTAATGTTTTTGATACCTGCCCCTATGAAGCTGTTTTGAATCACCTCGAATGTAAAATTTAATGTCGCTGACGCATTTCGTTATTGATTTATTACGGTTTTAGCAGTTTTTAACAAAAGCGTTATATGGGAAGTGGGCGTTATCATCCGATTTTTTGCTGTTCCAAGAGGTGTGGAAATGATTCAACCTGTGCCAATTTGGGTGATATAGCTTGAATAGTTTGGAAGATATCACCAAATTACGGGTTTGTATCTTAATTTGCGGCTTAGTTATGGCAATAATATATAAGTTTTCGATTAATGGCGTTTTGTGGACGTGGCAGTGGTCTGATTACGCCCATCTACATAGTCGTCCTCACCTTTTTGCCAAGGAACACGTGTAGCAAGTTTCATTACGATATCCCAATTTTTCTCAAGTTATCGCTTGCAGGGACGGACAGACAGACAGATACCCGGATTTCAACTCGTGTCATCTTCCTATATATATATATATATATATGTATATATATATACCAGTATATAGATCTAACTTGATTATTTTTAGGTTACACAAACAACCGTTAGGTGAAAAAAACTATTGTACTCCGTAACAACATGTTGCCAGAGTATAATTATATTCATTGGAAGCTTTAGAGTAACTTGGATTGGACAATTAGATCAAAGGCAAGAAAATACGTAAGAATTCAATACGCATTATCCGTAGAAACCGAATGATTCACTCGTAAAATCAATTTTGGTATCTTTTAAACTTTTGTATATTATAAGTTGTAGACTCACTTAGCTTCATTACTACGTTTTGCTTCTTGTTGAAAATAATTATATTAAAATAAATCTGATTAACTTAAATGAGATACAGAGGGGCTAAATTTAATTTATGGGGTGTATATGATTTTTGACCGATATATTCAGCACAGAGTATGCTAAATAATGTATATCCAGTGTTATACAAATATTTACTTAATGTTTCAAAGACAACTTAGATAAAAAAAACGAATTTTTTTTGCTTGGTACTCAGTAAAATAAGTTCATTGACACTTCTAAAAAAGTATGAGCTCTTAAATATTACGGGAAGTTCTTCGGCCTTACAGTTTTCTAGTTTTTGCTAATTATCAGTACAAAAAATTCCCATCTCACTTGTTTCAAAGATTTTGTATAAAATCGAATGCTATACAAGAATGTCTCTTACGCAGGCCTAACCATTTAAAAGATATTAATGGTTAAAGTTTAATTATTTTAAGGCAAATTGTTTTTTTTTATAAATTTTATATCTCAAAAAAAACATTTCAAACTGCAAAACTCATAGTTTTGTAGAAAATTTACTGCTCTACAAAAATGGTCTCTCACAATTACGAGCTCATACCTGCAGAGGCGTTTCTAAAGGTGTCTAAGAACCTATTTTTCAGAGTACCAAGAAAAATAATATTCTGGTTTTTTTCCCCCTACCGATATATACAGTATAAAGCCAACCGCATATTTGAAAACCTTATATTAGGTATATGGGGGCTAGGGGGAGTATTCACTCCAATGACCAATATATGCAGAATAAAAGAAGTTCGAAAATATTTATATTTGGCATGAAAATTAATTTTTACCAGAAAAAGATGTTTAGACGCTCATATTCGCTATTTAAGAGCTTGGTAAGTTATTCCGATTTTGAAAAATTAGATGTCATATCTTAAGGGCAATATCTGAAAAAATATTTTCTATATATATATATATTATAATTATTAGGTGGCAAGGAACATACTCGTATGTAACTAGTTTCTTCAATACATCAAAATTTTTACTCAAGTTATCGGTTGCCCAGGCAGACAAGCGGACTGACAGTATCACGGATTTCAACACGTCTCTTATCCACCTTAATACACTCAACATGCAACATGTTGCGAGAGTATAAAAAGTAACGGTAAGATATCGACACAAAATCTTTTCTACTAATGCGTTTTTATTGTTTTCATAAGAAAATTTAAACTTGGACCCCGTGCGTCACTCCTTAATTTTCTCCAGTCAAAACCTAAACTTATACACTTGTATTGTGTAATATTCCATTCCAATCAGTAGTATCGACAAAGGTTAGACATAGATATACCTTTTAGTGCCGTTTCAGACAGGGATGCAAAAGAGTCTGATGTTTTTCAAATTTTCTTTTGGTGTCGCTCTGGGCATTCACACGGACAAAAAGAGTCCAGCAACTCGAGTCTAGTTTTTCTGCATTCCTTTTCACAAAATGTTCGTAAATATTTGTGCGGTTCGACTGCGCAACACCGCGCAACACTGCGTGCTGCGTATTTCATTTGTATGTTGAGATGATGGTCACACATTTTGCTTGCAATGAATTACCATGAATATGGTAGAACAATATGCATAGTACAAGTACCTACCCGCTAAATAGTTTCAAAAAAATACTAAAGACGGGAATTCCCTAATCCACAAGAATGTATTGAATATCCGCAACTAATATTTTCAAGGCCAAATTTATAATAGCAATTTCCTAATCTTTAAGTATTAAAAACTCATAATTTCTTTACTCCATAATCTATATCTTAATTTTCTCCTTATTTACAATTTGTCATAATATTTCTATTATTCTATGCATACGTATTTGCATATTACATACAAAAATAGATAACAGAACTCAAATTTGCGATCGAATTCATTTGAAACCGAGCGCTCTTGCAACCATTCAAAGAATTTGAAAGTGAAAAGGAATGCTGAAAAGGGTAGCAGCGAGCTGTTACGAACAAGAACACAAAGCGTGCCACCCGAACACGAGTGGCACGGTCCCTTCGTCTTTCCTCGTCATCCCCTCACCCACAATAAACTGGTATGAGACTCTTTTGCGTCCCTGTCTGAAACGGCACTTACATCCAAATAAAATGCTGTATACTTTTGCTGCAGAATGTACTTAAATAAGCTGTGCTTTTTCGAACTCACCAACAACGAAAAGCGAACCGAACTCAGTACTCTTACATTAAATATTTTGGGTACATGCAACTATGTATTTGTTTAAAGTTGTAGTACAAGTACGTGAATGGTTAGGTACATTTGCTACTCAGATTCCCCAACCGCTGAATTCGTTGTGTTTAACCAGTGCACACCTTAGTTTCGGTAAGCACAATCGAAGTAGCAAGCAACAATGTTGCTGAACAACATGCAACATGTGATATTCAAGTTCAATGCGAACATGTTTCACACAATCATTTATTTACATAAACCCACAGGTTTGTCGCGGTAGACGCACAAGTGTATCATACAGTACTGTCCTCTTAATTGAATTTGAAAAATTACTCAACAAAATTACCGTTTGGCATAACACAAAGCGGTTGCTTGCTTCTGCGCGGATAAAACCAAGCTTATATGGATCTCTAGATCATTTACAGAAAACAAATTCCTCTCTTTTTCAAATGCTGAAAAGAAATTGGAACTAATTTTGCCGTTGCATTTTACTGAAATCGGCCAACAGGGTGCGCTCTACCGCAAAGCCTTGAAATGTTCTTTAATTTATAACTCCAATTGTAAATTTGGTCGACTATATCTGGAAGGCACAAAACTTAACCAAAACCAATAAAAGTAAACATGATAATTCGGCAGACTTTTTGGAAAGCCATGGTAAAAAAAGTTGTCCACTTTGTTATCACTTACATATTTCTTAAACCAATATCATTTCGAACTGGCAACTTAATTAGTAGATCAAAGAGGTCAAGAATTTTAACCCAAAAATCTAAATTTCATAATTATTTTTATCATCTTCTTCAACACTTCGCCCGATCTTTATATAATTTAATTTAATTATTTGAGAAAATTCAACCAAAAAAGCTTATATTAAATATTTTTAGGTTTGAGGAATTATGCTTGCCTTTTAATATGTAAATATATTATGTATACATATGTACCATATGTATTGTACATATATGTATTTCATATATTCCAGGGTCGATCAACTTGGTTATAAGTGGTATTATTAAAATGGAATAAAAGCATTAGCAGAGCTAGCACGGACATCTGCATAAGTTTGGAATGTGCTTAAGTCAATATGCTACTCAAGTTAAAGGCATTATATGAGATATATCTTTTAAAGACTTGGAAGGCGGACCAAGCTTAATTCTGCACGGGAGATTGGGTACGACAGTAATTGTTTGCAAATTGTAGAGAAATAATGTGTTCCCTCATTTTGTTATTTGAAACAACCAGTGCAAAAAATGGGCTCCACATGTGTCACGTAACTCTTGCATATATATTCTGAATGGTGAGTTTATTTCCAATTTTTTTTTATACTCTTGCAACATGTTGCTACAAAATATAATATTATTTTTACCTAACGGTTATCTGTATCACCTAAAACTAATCGAGATAGATATGGGGGTATGTATATATAAATGGTATCTGTCTGTCCGTCCGTCTGTCTGTCTGAGCAAGTGATAATTAGAGTAAAAATTAAGACATCTGGATGAAACTTACTACATATGTTTCTGGGCAACCAAGAGGTATCGCAGATGGGCGTAATCGGACCACTGCCACGCGTGTCATAACTTAGCACTTAATTAAGATACAAAATTGTAATATAGTACACGGGATCGCAGCAGCGAGGGTCACTTCTGAGCTAAATCTTTTTTTTAAGTGGGCGTGGCCCCTCCCCCTACATGGTTGAATGTGCATATCTACCAAAATCGGGTCAAAATATTCCCTAGCCCCCATATACCATATATTGTATAAGAATATTGAAGAATAAGAATGGCTTTATACCGTATATATCGGTCAATATGTAAGATATCTTAAAAAATTAAATGTAAGTATAATATTGGATTTGCTATAGTTTAATGCTGAAAATGTGCGATATTGAACGTCGAATTACCCCAGCTCCCATTTACTGTCTATAATAATTTTCGTTAATCCAGAATGAAAGTGGAATTTCCCCATCCTTTGGTTGATGTTTTTCTCACATATCGCATATATTAAATTTACCTTTCATTATATCACATACATACATATATCGCATTAGAGAAAATGACTGTTAAATTCTTTCGCAACAGTTTTGAATATAAAGTTTTGCCAACACCGGATATTTTCCCTTTCTTTGTTTCTTTCTTTCGTTTCTTAAATTAGTCTTATCAACCCTACTGGATTTCGGCCCGACGTAATAATGCCTTCCAGGCGCTTCTCCTACGAGTCCGCCTTCTCCAGCCACGTACACCAAGTTTTGTCTACTTCACTCTACCTCTTTTACCACCGATACTTGCATTGAAAGCCTTATTCGCTGGAGCGGCAACAGCATAGCCGCTGGTAGTTAGTCCAATTAATTCGTCTTCAGCAACATATGCCAACTTATGCCTAAGATTAAAAGATGGTGACCTTTATAAAATTGACTGCACCTTAGTCAAGTTTGGCCTTACTCATTATTTCCTACAGAGTTACTAGACCTCCCTTGTGCAAATAGCCAAGTAAACAGGGCCTGCTACATGTTTTCAATATCCGACTGTTACTAAAAGGGCTATAATATAATACAATTAAAAAGTTAGTTCCGTATGTACTTTGATTCCCTACTTTTTCATTTTTAAACAAGAATTATTCTCCGAAGCTAATTGTTTTTCTCGAATTAAAAACTTGTTTAGGCTTAAAAAAACTTTATTTCAGATATTCACACATTTTTACTGCTTAAATAAATTCAATAATAATGGTTTCGTAAACTTGCTTCTACTAACTACGAAAACAAACCACATTCACTAATACTCTATCATACATACAACTATCTACCAATAATAGGAAAAATAGCAAGGTATTGTTAATCGCTGGATTTTCGCGAACAACTCAGCTCATAAATATTGCACAAGCGCACAGTTAAATACATTTAGATATAGGTAGTGCATCAGTTCGCATTACTCATATATTCCAACCCACATACAGCGCACGCGCCCTTCACTCAGGCACATAGACGGGACTTATATCCAGCACCTCGTGCCGCTCGTCCAAACGTTCGTTTCGCGCCAACGTGCGATTCACATCCAACGGTTCCACATAGCCCAACGAACGTCCCATGGGCGCCAATACGAGATGCGCATGCGTTTGCGAAGAACCCTGATAGGAGACCACCGAAGGCGCCGCGTCGATCATAATACCCGCCGCCGCAGCACGCTCCACCGGCTGAGCCAAGCAATGGTAATGGAATACCACGCAGCTGAGGAAAAGCGCGACAAATGTGGAAAACTGCAAGAAAAATAAAAATGTTCGTGAGCTTGTGTGAAAATGTGAATGGCAATTGCAACAGTAAAACAGATTGGCGAAACCCAATTTAAAAGTTTTACTTACGTGCTTCATGTTTACGTGCTCGAATAATTCCAATTCTTCAAAACGCTCGATGTTTAGCGCGCACTGCTGAAATGACGATTGACTAGAAAAGCGCAATGCCGCGGACAGACTGACTGGCTGACTAATCGCTGGGTTGATTGTTCGCCTGCCGCTTGGCTCACAGATTGACTAAGTTGGCTGAGCGAATGAGCACGATGAGTGGATACTTAGCGAGCCAAGCGATGCTTGCGAGTGTTGCCATAAATCATTGGTTCGCGGTACTCGAGTAAATGCGCTGAGCAAAGTATCGCTGCGGTTGCGGTAAAAACTTGATTTCATATGCACACAAACACGTACAATACATAGTAATATAAAAACAACATAGTAAATATATAAATATATGTGAATAGCTAAATTGTGCTCTAGGGTATTAGTGTTTACCTTTGCCTTTTATTGGAATTGTTAATAACAAAAGTAAAAAATAAATATTATTAACAATGCAATGGAAGCGTGTAAAATGAAGCGAAAAGTAAGGAACGTCAATGGCGCGCACACTATGCGTAATTTTCGCGCCATTAGAGGAGTGGCAGATATTTGTCATACCCTTCAGCCACTCTTTCAGTATGTGTTATGTTTTAACAAACATATTATATTAGCGGTTTTCAGTTTTTTACGTTTGTATCGCTGCAGAAACTAACCCCCCTTTTGGAAGCACAGGAAGTGACCAGGTCTCCATCGAAGTAAAAACATTTTCTCAAACAACAGAGTCTTATAGGACAGAGTGAAACGAAAAAGCGGACACGACTGCTCTGGTTCGATCGAGAGGACAATCTCCATAAGCTACCCAGAACATTGAGATCATATATAGTAAAGGCTGCTAGTAGTAGAGGATATCAGAGGGATCTCAGGTCTTGGAATACCATAAAACAGGATAAATTACTTCGGTTAGTGTGTATAGTAATATTTATTTTAGTTGTTCCAGCTTCTTGAGGAGCATAAGGCCGCGTCAAATTGTCTCCATTAATTCAGCAGGTTCTTTATTAGCACGTTCGACGATATAGAAAGTAAAATGAGTGTGTATAGTTCGAAGACGAAAATAATTATAAATATAATTTTAATCGATCAATCAATAAATCGATAATTTTATCTTGTCATTAGAATTTCTTCGATCATTTTACGTATATTTTATTTTGAAGTAGAATTGCGGTAGTTTTTGACTTTAATACTTCCTAATATATTGACAAACAGCTGATCTCATCAACTAGCATTTTCAAAATCTTCTTTGAGTGTGCATACCTTGACTACACACTGTTTTCAACTCGACTTTATTTCCATTCAAAATTATGAATTTAGGGTATAGAAAAAATGTAGGAGAACCCCGACATATAGCAACTGCAAGTGGAAACGATGAAATAGTGATCAAAAGCCAATAATCTAAAAAAATGTAACAAGCAAAGTTATTCAAATTGTTGCTGTTGTAGGTGTCAGCAAAACGTTTGCAGAGTTGACTTTTTCTCTATCTCAAGCACTTAGGTTGCGTAAGAAGCTTTCGTGAAAGAAGTAAACGGAATCAAATAAGCAGCAATAGAAAAAACAACTAATAAGCTATTGAAGGTTGATTGAACACGATATTTGTTGTGCGCAAGAGCAGCAGCGCCCTAAGTTGAACCAAACATACATACAAAAGCATTAAGTTTGAAATAATTGTGTACATATATATACATATTATATATGAATGTGTTATGTATAGATTGTTAAAATGTAGGTATATACCTAAGTATTCAAAACCGCCAAAAAGCAATTGCGTTCAAATTAGCTAATGAGTGTTAGCAATTAAAACCGCAATGCAAAGCAAGAAACACGCTCCTTAACATTCCCTGCAGGAAATATTAATGACACAGTGAGGATAATGAGGTACATGAAAACAAATGATATATTTTTTTTTATAAGATTTTTCTTTTTATAAATATTTAATAAAATAAATTATAGAAGTGTAACTAGTTCACAATTTCTTATGTTTCTTAGAGATAATATCTTTATCGACCCATTCGACAAAGAATACTTATTTGTCACTAATTTAAGACCTATGCAAAAATAAATTATTATTTCAAACAAACACACTTTAAATCAAAAATTCAGTCACACTTATAATATTGTTTCTCAGCACGTTTATTCGCTATTGCTGCTGTGGAGTATCGAAGAAGACCCAAATGAGTCCATCCGACATCGCGCACAACGATTGGAGCTGTGCCTGTCCACTTTATGTAAAATTTTGCGAAATAAACTTGCCCGCAAGGCTTACTAAATCCAACTCATGCAAGAATTGAAGCCGAAAAACCATCTAGCGCGTCACACGTTCGGTGAACAAGACGAGCACTGATATCGATTTTCACAAGAAAATTTTGTTCAGCGGTTAAGTTCACTTTTTTTTGAATGGGTACGTTAGTAAACAAAATTGTCACATTTGGAATGAGGATAATCCACACGCCACTGTTTGGTTTGCTCCATGGGCAGAACGAATCATTCGTCCATAATTCTTTAAAAATGAAGCCGGTCATAATATTACAGTCAATGTGGTACACTGTAGAGCCATGATTGATGACTTTTTCGTACAAAATTTGGAGGATGTTGATGTGGACGACCTTTGGTTCCAACAAGACGGCAATCTAATAAAGTTATGTGAAGTTGCTTGTCTTTGTCCGAGAGATAAGCCCGAGATAATTAACCCCTTGGAAAATAATATTTCTTATTATTGCTGACATACGGCCCCAATTGGTGCAGAAAATGATCGAAAATTGGGCGTCTCGCATTTTAAAAACATAATGGCAAACTTTTATCTTTACAATAAAGTATCTTTCTTGGCCATATCTTTAATTATGTGGATTTTATTACTTCTTGAAAACTACATGTCTAAAAACACTCATTACTAAGTGGAGCCAATAGGAATAATTATAACAGAGACTATTTTTTTTTGACGCGTGTAATAGGTAATATCAATGTCAAAATTAACTCAATTAGCTCACTCCTTTCTCTGTCACCAAAATAATATGTACAATAACTTGCGACTTTTCACCTGACAAAATGTTTGATACATTAATAAAATTAAATGAACAAGTATTCTTAAAAATTGTGTGGGAATATGAATGAAATTGGCCTTAATTTTGGTCCAAACCTTGTATACCTAAAATAATGAATTAACGTTTGCACATCAACTCATTATATTAAATTTATCTTCTTCAGTTGAGTTTACCTATGTCCCATATATCTCATTTGAAGATGGATTTAACACAATTTTAGCTGACGCGGAGTAAAACATGGTAATAAAACTTAACGAGTATATGACCTATAATATAACTTAATAAAATATCAAATTTGCTTGGAATCCATTTACACTTTCGTCCAATAATATGTTAAATGTTTCGCAACATTTTTTAATATAAAGTTTTCTCAACACGTGAAGGTATTTTACCTGCTTTGATCCTTACAAGTTGTAAGAATGTAAAATGTTTGGTTACACTCGAACTTATTGCTTCATTACTTGTTATTATGCATTTGGCTTCAAAATAAAAACAAAAATATAACATAATAAATACTCTCGCAAAGTCAAATGGTATACTCGTTTTAGTTTTTTTGTGTGATTTTGCCGCTTTGTTCTATGTTGACCGATATTTTCGGTAAAAAGTCAACTATTAGCACTGGGGTCCACATATGCAGTACCTAGGGGCTTGAACAGTTTTGGTTCAATTTAGATAATTTTTAGTCAAAAGGTGGCATATTTTAAACGCATTATTCATGCAAAGTTTTACCCCGATACAATCATTGTTGCTGAATTTGCGTAGTGGAAAGTAAAAGAATCAGATGGAATTTGAAATGGTATTATATGGGAATAAGGTGTGGTTGTAATCCGATTTCGCCCATTTTCGTACTATAACATATAAATATGAGAAGAATATTATCTACCGAATTTGGTTGGAATCGCTTAAGCGGATACCAAGATATGGGTTTTCACTTACAAGTGGGCGGCGACACGCCCTCTGACTTATTTTGAACACGGTTCCTATAAAGTCATCTCATACCATCCTAGAGATAACATTTAATGTCTCTGACTTGTTTAGTGCTTGGTTTATCGCGCTTTTAGTATTTTTAACAGTACCGTTATATGGGGAGTGGAGGGACGGGTGTCAACCGATTTCACCCATTTAGGGTGGTAGAGGTGCTAAAAACATTTGCTTCCTGTGAATTTTGTTATTATAGCCGACTTTAATAAAAAATTTAACTGCAGATGCCCCTCCCTAATGTGATCCTGTGTACCAAATAACAGTGTTGTATCTTATTGCGGAGCTTAGTTATGGCAATTTATATGTTTTTGATTAATGGCGTTTTGTGGGCGTGGCAGTAGTCCGATTACGCCCATCTGCAATACTAACCTTCTTACGGTACCAAGAAATATGTGTACCAAGTTTTATAAAGATATCTCAATTTTTACTCAAGTTACAGGCTGCACGGACGGACGGACGGACGGACAGATTTTAACTCGTCTCTTCATCCTGATCATTTATATATATATAACTCTATATCTAACTCGATTAGTTTTAGGTGAAACAAACAACCGTTAGGTGAACAAAACTATTGTCTAAGAAAATATATCTTTGAATTTTCCTACAAGGTGTTCGAAGGCCTGAAAGAAACACGCCTACAGAAACAGATGAACATGTTCATCAAAATGATTGTGGGACACAACTTCGTCACTAAAATACTCACCAAAAAATATATTTACTAGTATTTCATTTTTTTCGGTAAGATGTTGTGAGTACAACTAACCTTAACCGTTGACAAAAATATAGTGCAGAAATATGTTTTTACGCTACCAGTGAAGACAGATACCGTTAGCGCTTACATAAGCGTATGCAAGCAGTTAGCTATATGACACAACATTTTCGAAATGCAAAACCACATGAACATTTGCGGCTGTTGCGCGCACGGGACTCCAGTTCAAGGCGCCAGGCAAAACAGCCAGGCCCTACAAATGCGCTTGTCATTGCGACTGCAACGTATAAATTCAATTCACGCTCAACAAATCTAGTAATCTTATTTTGCGTAGCGCGTCAAACGCATTGTCTCAAGACAATAACAAGGTGCACTGAAGAAAAAAATTCAAATCATTATGGTAATGTCTAAAATTGCATCTTAAAAGTCTAAATATGGTATTTATGTATATTTGCCTTTTTTGCAGCAGCAACTTTTAATTATACTCATCGCCAGCATTACAGCATGTCGGGCTGGCCTGTTGGCCTTATCGCCAGAAGATTTCCAGCAAGCGGGCGACATTAAAATCGCCACCATTGTGCATAACGCTCCCTCTGCCGTCTCGCACACCACATTCACACGCGTGCATAACCATCGCGACAGCGGTCAGACCACGCAGCCACAACTCGCTAGCACTGTAGCCACACAAGCGGCGGAGGTACATCGGCCGAAACCGTCAGTTGCCAGCCAATCCATCTACACGGCTCAACAGTTGAGTGTTTTCCCAACGACAATTATAAAGCATGAATTGCCAAAAGCTCCGTTGGTAGACAATATTGCCACTACAGCCGAAGCGGTCACTGGTGGTACGCCCGTCGTCTACTCGTTAACACATACCCCGGCACATTTGGCCTACTCTGCACGGCCGGTGGTGTATCAGACGCTTCCGGAAATAAAGCCAGTACGAAAAATTAGCTTCGAGGAATCAGTTCCTAGTCCAAGAAATAAACAGAACTACCGCACCCAGTAGTATTGAGAACTGAAATAAAAGAATTCCATAAATAAAACAAAATTCGTATGCATAAAGGTGTGAGGACTTTTTAACCAATTATTACAGCTTAGAATGGATTTAGGGTGCACGCGTTTTTCAGATACAACAGACAGCAACAACATGTGACCGCTTGACCAAAAATTCAATGTTTCCCAACCATACATGCATTGCAAAATACTTTTGATCAAAAAATAGCTGGAGCAGAGTGAAAAATTGAGGGTATTAGGTAGTTAAAGTTCCTAAATTAAGGAGACATTCAATTGAAAACGATTGAAGAGGTACGAGTATTTCGGTAGAATAGAGATTTTTTTTTACTACCACATGAGCAATCGGTTTAAAGACTTCCGAACGAAAATTGTTCTTATCCACTCAAACTCGAGAGAGCTTAGAACTTTTGTTGTTACAGCGGCATACAATTTTTTGTAACGATCCGTGTCTGAATATAAATCCGAATCTATTCCAATAACGTAGACTGCTATGAAAAGTGTTATTCTTCAAAGAAATATCAAAGAATATTTGGGACACTCAACATTTTACCCATGAATCAATAAAACGATTTGAATAGAGTTTAATTTTGTTATTCCAAAAATGATCAACTTAACGAAAATGTTGAAGCCAAAAAACATGTGCGAAATCTAATTTTGAATTTTCAATTTCTAAGTAAATTTCTTATAATATTATCAGCCTGGAACACAGTAAGCAGTTTCAAAAGATTTTAAAGTAAATAATTGCTAGATCAGTGATGAGAGCATCCATTGCCTCATTGTTTGTATTTGTAGTTGACACTGCTGCTGGCGGTGTTTGCATTCGAAGTGACGCTGGCGCTGGCGCTTGCACTCGCCTTTGCATTACCTGAACGGAGGACAGTGGTTTCAGGTGCAAAGATGAGCGGTGTGTGATAGGCGCGCAACACTTGTGACGTGATTGTACGCACTGCGGGTGCCACAATGGGTGTGACCACACGCGCATGCTTGTGCACCACCGTCTGACTCTGATGCGACACGGCGGTTGGTATTTTCTGCACCACTTCACCCACCTTAGCAAGAGTCGGCTCGTGAATGGTTATTGTTTCCGGTGCGATAACAGTTCGTAAACCAGGACGTGTTGAGATGGTAATGGGCAGCGGAAGGGTCTCTGCGGGTAAGATGTGATGTTGGACGGCTGCTGTGGAGCTGCTGCCTGACGGTAACTTTATCGAAGAGGAGACACGCAAGGATGAACGCGATGCAGACGCCGATGCAGAAGCCGAACCAGCAGAAGCGACGGCTTTTAGGCGAGCTAGGGAGGATGATGCAGGAGCTATAGTACCTGAAACTGGTGCAGAATTGGCAATTGCTGTGACTGATGCGGGCGCTACTGATTCCCGCTCTCTTGTTGCGGGGCCCGTCACGTCGTTGTTCTCCTCGTCTTCACCCGATGTAACAGCGTTCGATTGTAACTGTTGCTGCGACTGCTGTGGATATTTGGCTGTCAAGGATATTGTCTGGGATGGCTTAATGGCTACGCCGCTGCCGCTGCTGATGATGTTATACAGACCGTCCGGCTCCGGTGAGGCAACACTGCACACAATGCAAGTGCTTAGTAGTAGTGGCAACTGCGGATGGAGATTTATGAGTTGGAATATGTATAAGCAAGAGCTCTTAAGTTATTTAATTAAGGCTCACCAATTTGAACATTGTTATGTCGCACAATCTTTCAAAATGTTTGCTTTAGAAAATACCAGTGTCTTACTGATGCTCCACCATTGTTTTCAGGAAGCTTTTATACTCATTAAATGCCGTTGCAACTGAATGATTCCACGTCAATCGTTCGCACAGAACGTCTTGGGTTTCATATAAATTTATATGCACTGGAAGTGAAATAGAATAATGCTACATTTTCATCGCATCAGTGGGCAGATGATTGAAGCTTTCAATGGTGGGTGAAATTACGTATAACCTGTTTGTATATTACGACATTGCCACCATTAATGTGATATAATTATTTTAACAGCGCAACTTCCCTAGTAACGTATACATGGGTGCTTTCGCATATTTTGTTATTCCGGTAAAGTTTTTATTTATTGTTTGATCACAAAACTAAGCCAGTTTTTTACTTTAACAAAGATAAGTCATTCGGGGCCGCGGTTTTCTTTTCTAGTTAATTTCACGTCTTCAAGTATTCAATTTTTTTTATAACCACCATTTCCACTATGATATGGTTAATTCATATTTTTTCTCTTGAACAGTCCACTAGACACTTCAAAAAATATAATCCAAAGTTCTACGCCTCATTAATTAAAGTTTATTTATTATTCATGAAGTGATGATTTTTCCTTTAATCTAGTGAGAATTGTTGGATTCCTATCAATAGTAAGGCGAGAAGCTCTTTTGGTATCATACAGCTTGGAAAAATTAAATTATTTCAATTAGGTAGTTTCAAAGAGGTTTATCTTCAGAGAGACAACTAAAATAGTGCCCACGCTATAAGACATTGGAAAGATAAAAATCCACATTAAAAGAAAAAATTTTGTGATTACTTGAATGGATATTGTTTAATATTTTACAGTTTTTCTTCTATAAATCGAAAACATAATCCAGTCGGCTAAAAACATGAAAAGTGTTTATAGTCCGGATACTGTAACAGCCAATTTCGCACAATTTTCGTTTCGTCAATATCAATTCTGATATCAAAGCCACACAGCGCTCTGGAAAACCAATAGTCGCCACACGAGTTAACACCGCTGAATCGCAACAAAATCGATTTATTTCTGAAACGGATGGTTACAGGCGAGGAAAAAGAAGCCCCTTACGACAACGTTAGGTGAAAACGGTCGCAGTCGAACCGGGGTGAGCCTGTGAGCCTGCGCAAATTAGAAAGAGAAGCTTGTGAAAATCGAATGTCCCAGTTTATTGGTCAATAGGGACGATGGTTTTTGTGAGGCAACAAGTTATCGTACAAAACTTTGCGTATTTATCTTAAATCGAATCATTTTAACTGCTGCAAATAAAATTTGTAATTTAATGCTAAAATAATTGATTTCTTTTTACTAGACCTAATATCGTATGGCTTAAATTAAACAAATTGTCCTGCACTTTATCCATCTTTTCTATACTGTGCAAACTCTCTGGGAGAATGTTCTCTGACAACGTTAACAATCGCGACCTCAGACAGGTTGTTCACTAAACTAATGTTGTTCGATGTATTTTTAAGTTTTAGGGGATGTGGTTTCGTACTGTCGAAAGTATTTTTTAAATCGATAAGGTGCCATTAGTTTTATTATAATATAGACTTTCGCCATTGGATAGCATACATCAAGGCTCTGATGAGACTAAAATTTTTATATCACAAAATGTGGTGCTCGCTCAACATGTCACCATTTTGTTGTCCTTCACTTGATCTCATTAATGACGTTTTGGATAAATATATACTCCTAACTATGTAAAAGTTCAAATAGATCTGCTGAATTAACGGGTTGTAGTTACTCTTAAAAAAAGTAAAATACTCTTTTTACGTAATTTTTGAAAACATGGTCAGAACTTAGCAATGAAAACTTTGAATTTCGACTCTTCATACTCGCCGTTTCATAAATGCGGAGATATAAAAGGTACTGAACTGGGATGCCTAAGAGATTTAATACTCTGTGTTTGAGCTATCCAGAAAGGTATGAGACTAGAAGCAAACACACAAAATGTTTATACCGGCCTTTGGGTTTGACAATCTACGAAGAATCGCAAGCCGAACTTGGCCCTAAAAGGATTCTACGAACACCAAACCTAATTAGAACATATTTACATATAATTATTCACAAACAAAATTCTGCGTAACATATATTAACTATTGATAAAGTATATTTAATACCTCTCTTATTGTAATTATTATTGATGTCGCAACGTCGCAACATTGTTGTGACTGTCGTTATGTCCAAAGCCATATCCACAATCGTCTGCGCCGTTTTTTTTTTTTGTATCTCCAACAGCAACAGACAACATACCGCCCTCCTACAAATATATTTATGTATGATTTGACCACTTAGGCGTATAAGCTATACACTTTTAAACATAATTAAGGATATTTGTACATGCCACATAAATACCATACATCTCAAACAAACGCACATACGCTGAATTTGTTCATGTGCTTTGTAATGCGCACAAATATTACGAAACACTTGTTATGATATGTAGAAAGAAAAATTAAAGGCAAAACAAAAATGAAAGTATGTTCGTGTATACAGTCCGACTGCAAGGCTTAAATTTTGTCAAGTACGTATGTACCTATGTATTACGTTTTACCTATGTACTTTTTTGTCACCATTACATCACGGGTATCGGTGTTTAATATTATCGCATTACAAATACAAGAAAAGACGTAAGCTTCGGCTGCACCTTTCCCAGGAGCATTTATTACAGCAACTAACCGTAACCGGCTAACGGAAAAAAGATCTTTGATGAAGATCTTTATCTTAATTTTAATTGGTCAGTTTGAACGGCAGCTATATGCTATAGATCTAAGGGTTGGAAAGTTGTAATGTTGCATTAAATAATAATACATACCAAACTTCATGAAAATATATTGTCAAATAAAGAAGTTTTTCATTCAAGAACTTGATTCTGAGCGGTCAGTTTGTATGACAGTTGTACATATGATAGAGGGGGATACTGACAAATGAGAGGCTTCTTGGGGAGAAAGAGATGACATCTCAAATAAAAGAGGCTAATTTACATATGTATACACCGAGAGTTGGACATAGCTAAAATATCTCAGGGAATTAATTGATAAAAACGGTTAGCCAGGCGGCATTGAAATCACTAAAGTCTCCTAGGGTTTCGTCAAAGATAAAAGAATGCCTTGATCTTTTAGTGGATCTAACATCCTATTTCACGATAAACCTGCAAAGGGTTCAAGTGCGTAGTGGTATCCCTGGTAACTGTGAAGCAGATGACTTAGCCAGAACTGGCACCACCCTACAATTACATTCCGTAAAAGAGGAAATTTTATGCCTCTAGCCAGTTGTAAATATTTTATCGACGAGCATGTTATAAATTTAGCTGAGTCTCGGTAGAGTCACTCCCTGACTTACTCAGCAAGCAGGCAAAAGTGGCATAAATGGTACATGGGTCGCTAATGCTGACTATTAAAACTCAAATAGAATGACATAAGAACTCTAGTAGGAGTGCTGACATTTGCATTTGTAAGGAATATTTAAACGACGTGGCAAGCGTATCATTATAAAACTGAGCAAAAATAACGCCTTAATGTGTAGCTTATGTTCTTATGAAAATTAAATCAGAATTTCTTACCGGCGAAAATTTTCTAGCTAAGAATTTATTAAATCGGTTCAGCCCTTCTCCTAATACGATATAAAACTTATTCAGTATCGGAAAGTATGTAAGATATCTTTCTGGCAACCAGTAGAAGAGTTACTCTTACCCACATATATACCAATTATCGTTACTACATGTACCTGACCAAATATACCGGTTAACATGTGTGATATTGTCGTTCAGTATTAAAAGATCTTTAAAATCTGTACATTTGTTCCTCTAACCTCCACATACTGTATAATTTATATACCTATCTCTGTGCTTCTGATGTTGTTGTAATCGATTCAAAATTTGATTTATTAATATCTAGTATATATATCGCTTAAATTATTAAAAATTGCACTAATTTACTCGTTTTATTCTGATTCTAATTTGTCTAAATTGTTTCAATTTAAAAGCAGTGTATTGAAAATTTTGTTAGGCGAATATATAATAACCCCCCAGAGTAAAATTTCATTCATAACTAATTTTAAAATGCCGATAGCATGTATCTGTTACATAAATTTGCACTCACACAAGGTGGAGCATTAATTAAAATAATATGCATAACCACAATTCTCCCAATTTCAATGAAGAACCAGCCACTCAACGATAATATTCACAAGTGACGTAAAAGCATGCAAAGAAATATTGCTTTTACGTAGATAAAATATGACATAAATATATTATACAAGAGTGTTTAATCAAATTTTATAGCAGAAAGATTCCGTTAGTGTGCAGAACAGCGTCCTTCGGGATATATATATAGAAAATGTCGAGAAGAATGGCCTAAATTTCACAAAACCCACTGCAAAAGCAAGCCATCTCCCTCACTTGATACAAGTATATTTTCTGTGGAGATTTATGCGATTACGAGAAGTTAATTATGCCACAGGACAAAAATAGCAACCAAGATGTACAGAGCTGAAAGCATAACGAAGAGAAAGCACTTGCAGAGATAATTTATATGACATTTGTATGCATTTTATTTACAGAATTCCGAATTTATCAATTAAAATCTGTTTTCAAAATATTCCTCAATAAGCCGCTCGTCGGATTTGTTCCCCATTTATTTCTTAAATTCGGCAGAGGTATAGACCAGCGGCTGGCCATAAGTGGTAAATCCATAGGAGCGATAGACTGGTGCCTGTAATGGAGCAGCCGAAGTGAACGAACGCACTTGTACCGGAGCGTTGGCGTGAACAAAAGCGGCAGCTGGACCGAAACCGAATGGTAATGTGCGCAGGAGCGGTACGTGTTGCAGGAATGGTGCTGCAGCTGCAAAAGTTCGAAAGGCAGGTGTGGCATATGAGCGGATGGCGGGTGTCATTAACGGTGTAATGCGCTGAGCTTTGCTATGCACAACGGTTGAACTCTGATGCGAAACAGCAGTGGGTACACTCTCGACCATTTCGCCCACTTTAGCCAAGGCGGGTTCGTGCACTTCAACGTGTGTGGGCTCAGCAACAAACGCGGACTTGTAGAGCGGCAGCGCGGCTGTCAATGGAGCTGACGGTAGGAGCGCTAAGTTATCGGGTGCTGCATTAACCAGCGCGCAAATGAAAAGCATGATAAACTGAAATAAAAATAAGTTATAGAATATTATACTTGTTTGATGGACGTTTTGTCTTTCACGCATAATATTATAATTCTGGAATAATTTTAAATGTTTCAGCAGTACTAAGCAAAAAGTTAAGGTTATTTTATTGGAATGCAGTAGAAATATCAACAAAATATGCGAAATTCAAATAATCTTCCCTTCTAAGAAGTTTTATTTAAATAGCTCCATTTCGTAATAAGAGTTAGAACTAGTTTTAGACCTCTTAAAATATTGTTCTTTAGGGAAATTAATCGAAAAAATGAGACGAATCTATTGTCGTTTGTAAATATATCACGTGCATATGTAAATACCTCGTTTAATGGTGTCGAAAAGATTTCTCGGGATATGTTGCATTGACCTAAATCAGATCGATATATCTACCAAACCTTCAGGTCGTAGTCAGTGAAGGGGAAAAGGGAAGATCTGGGACAATTCCTTCCAGTTACGGAATTTTCAGGACGACCCAGCGCCTTGCAACAATGTTTTGCAGATTTTTTTCTCCAAAAATTCACTAATTTCCCAGTTATCCCCGGTCCCAGTTTTCTCTTAACGGACCTCGTCGTAGCATTGGAAAGTTCCTATTAGCAAGTTTACTTAACTTAATGATTATATCTCGATATACTCGAAACATCCCAACAAACTGGGAAATACCTCGACCATGCACCCCGATCAAGGACGGAAGAAGTGGTGCAAACTGCACTGAAACGAACGAACAGCTTTTACCATAGCTAACAAGATTTTATATGACCCAACCCAGTACGGCTTCACTGATGTTTCGAGTATAAAGGTATCACCAGACTCGTATCAAAAACCCAAAATATTTCAGAAAAGAAAGACCATTAAATAGACGTCGGAAGAACGTAGCCTGATCGTACATTTATAAATAAAATAAAAGAACTGTCGACGAATAGCAATGCTCACACTCATTTTAAAGTATTCGAAAATTCATTCCTCCAACTCAGTTCGTTTTTCGTTAGTTATCTTTTTATTAGAAAATCACTGCTTAAATTAGATTTATTTTACTTAATTTGTAGCACTCACCACTTTGAACATTTTTACTGCTAAAAACAAATTGAATTCTAAATTGTCTTGAAATAAGTTTCTTACTAGAAGCATACACGTGCACTGATATTTTGCCTTAAGTTTCTAGCGCTTTTATAGAACTCATTGATCTATGCAAAAAACAGAAAGCAAGAAATTTAACTCCTAGAATTATTTTAAGAATGTAACTCAAGTGGCATAAAAACAAGCTGAGCTGAATATATTCAGCGGAAGACAGGCCGCGAAGCTTTAAACGCGTCCGCCATCAAGATAGCAAAGAAATACAAAGATCATATTTCAGCCACAACAATATACTGACAAACGCTACAAACGAGAGAATCGAGCAGAAATCCTCTTAAGTAACAACATTGTCAGTTTCGCTCAGCTTTAGGTGGATGGCGCGCAGTCCTTTTGGCCATGTTAGTGGCCATGAGCCGAGATTTCACTTTCGCTGATGTAGCGCGCAGGTTAAGAGCATCAATGCTGATACTACAATTACGAGTCGTAAACCAACACCTCCATTGATTTGTCCTAACGAATGCATTGCGGTTAATGGTTGTGTGCCTAGGTTCTATACTCAAGTGTTGAAAGTTAACACTGATTGGCAAAAACGCAAGAGCATTTGTGTGTCACACTTCAATCGCTCGCCCCAAAGTCATTAGTTATTGTGGCAGTTGTAGCGTGAATACCTCAGGTTAATTCCTAAGTGCTTCCTTCGGAATGCGCAAATGGTCTGTACCAACATCATCCCATGTAATGTGGAGTTGAATGCGTTCTATGAAACGCCTACGCCTCAAATGATCACAATCACAACTCAGCGTAGACAAGCCGCTGACTGTTGAATGCGCGCACAAAGCTAAATCATTGTTGTACTTTGCTCTTTTTACAAAATATCGGCTTAAAGAGATTCACTCTAATCCTATTGCATCGATTTAACACATCTTGGAAGGGCAATAACGGCTGAATAAACACATAGAGAAATGGTTTTGACTGCAATTTTTTACTTCCATATGATTATTTTACTTAACGGTACGACGTAAAATGAAGTTGTTGGTATTAATCCTTAAAGTGCTTCTAAGGTATGCCATCTCACGTCTACAAATAGTGCAAATCGAACCATACCCTTTCAAGTTCCTAGATACCGAATATGTGGACTAGAGCTGCAAAACAATCGATGGGACTATCGATAGGTATCGATAGTTTGTTGTCGTCACACTAACAATAGTTTATTTTGACTATCGATGGTTTATGCTTTATCTAGACTTACCAACAATTTTCGTAAAATTGCAAAATTTCACCTAATAAAGCTAAGAATTAACGCGGAAACTTCCACAAACACCCAGCCCAATGCAAAAGAAAGTTATGAATGATCGCACATACACAAGAGGTTGGGTTAGAATTGTCAATTGCATCTTAAGAAACTCATAGAAACTTTAACAGAAATATCTAATAGCGCTGTTGAGTAATTAAACCGCTTAACCGATAGGTGGCTTGTAGGGATGGTAGCCTCAAAATCATCTTTTCATTCTTGGCTTGGTTGCGCCATAGTGGTTTAAATTTGTAAGTATAGAAAACTTTTAAAATAATATACAAATAATTAAATTTAACACATTTTTACACTTTAATTAGGTGTTAAATGGGTAAGAAAGATTTTGAAGAATTATTTACAATTAAATAAGACTTTTTAATGTTCTTAAAAGCCGGCTGCACATTTCATACATGCAGCCGCGTTTCAGATTTTTTGTCGCCACGGTTTTCCAGTATTTTAATAAGAATTAAAAACAGTGGAACAGAATTTGTGAAGATACTTCCATTTTATTTAGTACTTGATGTTAGAGAACATTTTGTTATGATCGAATTTCACAATATATAATATATACATATATACTCATATGTACATATACCCAGAGGCATTAGTCAGCAGTGCATATAAAAGAAAATCATGTTAATTAAATTGTACAGAGTCCCAGAGAATATTCATTGCTAATATCTGTTAAGAGAACAGCACTTAAGGCTAAAAACTTCAACAAATTACTATGTTTAAACAAAAAGCTAAAAATAAATATATTTTTGTGGTTTCCGTTACTGTTCATGTTTTGTTTTATAAATAAATCTAAAGATGATTTCATAAAAATGAAGTGTAAAAAGCCAAGGCCTCTTAATTGAAATCAGAGAAATGTAAGTAGATTTCAAGAGGAAAAACTAACGATATTATGTTTTTATACTCTCGCAACCTGTTTCTACAGAGTATAAAGTTTTGTCCACCTAACGGTTGTTTGTATCACCTAAAACTATTCGAGCTAGATATAGAGTTATATACTTGTATATATAAATGATCAGGATGAAGAGACGTCCGTCTGTGCAAGCTGTAACTTGAGTAAAAATTTAGATAACTTGATGAAAACTTGTGTACTAAGAAGTTTCTTGGCAGTATGATAAGGTTTGTATTGTCGACGGGCGTTATCGGAGCACCTTCATCCACACAAAACGCAATTAATCGAAAACCTATAAAGCGTTATAACTAAGCTCCACAATAAGATACAAGACTGTATACTGACTGGTATGCGAATCACATTAAGAAGGGGCATCTGCGTCCGAAAAGGCCGTTACTACCGAAAATATCAAAAGGATCTTATATTGGATGACCGTAATGTGAAGTTGCATGAGATAGGTGACAATCTGAAGATAACAATGAAACATTCTGAACAAATCTTTTGTGAACATTTGAGTATATGAATTAAAAGTAAGTGCTGCGCGTTCTTAGAATCAAAACAATGCAACATAACTCAAAAAATAGTTTCGAATTGATACCGCATTAACCATATTTTTCGGATCTGGCCCTAGTGAGCTATGTATCTTCATTCTCAGGAAAAAGCTTGAATATGTAGCAGCCCCTAAGGTGTTTTTATGAGCTTGGCGATTTTCGTTTATTAAAAGCTCACACTTCGTTGTTTGTTTGCGAATTCTTAGCCAAAAACAATACTGTAACGATGACTTAACCTCCATATTCGCCAGATATGGCTCTGTGTGACTTTTTCCTATTTCCAAAAATAAAGTGAACCTAAAGGGCTCTTTAATAATTATTGTTTTCAAAAAACTAAAATTCCCATTATTTTTGGGCACATATCGTTTATATAATACATATATAAATATTTTTTGACTTTTAGTATTCAGATCGATTAAGCCTATTGGATACAATCAATTAAAGTGTCACACTTGGAAAGCATGCTTCTACCCGTGCTATAGCTTTATTTAAAAGGAGTTTAGCTCTTCAAATATTGTTTAAACCGACTTGCTATGAACTTGACTAAAAGTTAGCTTTGTGTTATCTAACGGCGACAACTGTCATCAATCTTACTTTTACATTTATAAAGAGTCACATGACTCATATAGATATACAAACTATACATAGTATGTACGTCATAAAAACAACCTGGCGCTGATTGTACAATTATAATCCTGTAGTAATTGGTTTGGGACAATGTCTACAATGTAAACAGCAAAGGGCTTTGGCCTTTCATTCTATCACAGCTGGGGTATCGTGGTGCAATGAGCTTGCTCCAAAAAGACAGAGAGAGATTGAGAGATTTAAAAATAATGCATCAACAATGTAAGAAGTGAACGTCAATCACCACAATGTTGCCAATACAATGTCAAAACACTTGATACTCATATGCAAGTAAAAGTTCACGAAAAACAAAGAAGAAATCGACAAACAACAGTTCATTAAGGCCAATCTTGCTACTGTGTTTTGGTTTTAACATTTTTGTTTCACGAAAAAAGTATATTATTATTCTTTCATATACATAAACACATGCAAATACACTCGGCACTTTTACATATTTTACGTATGCCGTCAGGCCTAGGAAAATATGCGCCTTTCAAGGAAATTCAGTTCATGGCAACAAACGGTAAACAACTCAATTTTATGGCCGCTGGTCAACTGCCTCGGGAGGAAGTAGGGTGAAGCCACGAAACAATGCAGGCAGCAATCACAACAACACACGGCACAGTGTCGACGCACTCGTAAGTGCCAAGGATATCTCAAAACAACGTGCATGTTACAATTGGCGCCCAGTCCCGTTCGAAAAGTGCATTTACAAAAGCACCAGCGTTGTTTTTTTTGTAACCATAGCATACATATGGGCGCGTGCAAGGCTCTCTGTGTGTTGGTATATCAATTTCCATAGAGGTGAAAGATGTATACTCAGAATCATAATTTTCCACGCACACATATCGAATATTTGGCTGTTGTCCTTTCACCTGCAACATTTTGTCAATTTCAAAATGAAACTCAATAAACAATTGAATAAATTGACCTTTTGACAGTGCATTGGCGATGGGTAATGAAAGTATATGCATGAAAAGAATTCACACTGGTCAGCAGGCAGTGGCACCGATCGATGTGAGGCGAATGCCTAACTGGAATCCTCATGGCTTTGTAGATGTGTGCATGTCATTAGCCAGCACTGGTTAGCGACAGAAAACGTTGCTCTGGTACTTCTGAACTGCTTAGAGAATACTAAAGAAGATATTGATGCACACAAGTATGAGTGTTATACAATTCATCTAGAGAGGAACTCAGCTAAGTTATATTCCATTGACTAAGATGTTGTACAAACTGTCCAAAAAGATTTTAAAACATATTTAATACAGTTAGTAATTTTGTTTTTTTTACAATTTCTTCATCTGAAAGAGATTTGGCAACAATATGTAAAAACTGAGAAACATACATACAAATCAATGTAATTCTCTAAATCGTTTTTTGAAACTCAGACGTTTTAGTACGAAAAAATATGAGTACTAAAATTTTTGATTTTTGGTTGAGTCCGAAGAATATTATTATATTATTTTTTATTTTTTTAAGGAGAACACTAAGTGTGAAAGAGAAATAAAAAGGCGATTTTTGGACATTAAAAAGAACAAAATCTGTATCAATTGTAAATTTTAAGGGTATATATTCAGTATATTGTACAGGGTATCGAAGAATAGGAGGGATGAAAAATACATAGAAATCACCGATATGTATTCACTATAGTATATAGCTGCCATACAAACTGACCGATAAATCAAGTTCTTG